TCATTCTGAGATAGTGCATCCAGTGGTGTCACCTGGGAAGGTTCTCTCTGGTCACAGTGAATTTTTTTGTGAAAGCAGTTTTGCTCAAACCTCATTTTTTGTGATGGCAGATTTAAGAGAACAGCGTGCAGCTGTGAAATTTTGTTTCCTGCTCTAGAAAAATTCACAGAAACTGTTATGATGTCCAACAAAGTTTACAAGGAAAGCACTGTGGGAAAAAAAAACTCAAGTGCACGAGTGATTTTCTCCTTTCAAAAAAGTTGAAATGTAGATTGATGACAAACCTTGTTCTGGACATCCATCAACTTCCTAAACAAACTGAGCTGTCAACCCCTAGTGTATTTATAGTTCATTCCACCAGGCCTGTCTGTTAATCAAACTTTCTATTTAGAGGTTCTGAAAAGGTTGCATAACAGTGTGTGACAAAAAAGGCCTCCTTTTTGGCAGACTGAGGACAGATCTTCCCACCATGACAATGCACCTACTCACACAGTCATCTCAATGAGCCATTTTTGGCAAAAAAAAACCCAGCATGCCTCTCTTGTCTCATGCATCTTACTCCCCTGACCTCTCTGTGTGACTTCTTTTAGTTTCTGTGATTAAAGTGAGACATGAAAGGACAGCAATTTGACGATGTAGAAATGTAAATTAAAAAACAACAGTGGTGCATCCAACCATCCAAACAGAGGAGTTATAAAAATGTTTCCAAAACTGAAATCGCAAATTTGAAAAATATATTAAATGTAATGGAGAGTACTTGAAGGTGATGAGGTTGTTTGTAAAAAAAAAAAACCAAAACATTAAATACATAGCTTTGAAAATTTTTCCTTTGTTGGTGGGGTAACCCCTTGTATATCTATCAATACTCTACAAAATATAGATGTGAGGAAAATCAATGGTTGATGAGGGTGGAGGAAAAATTGGTATTTGAAACGGAACATGTGAATGCAACATACTGGCATGAAGCAGGGAACCAGTAGAGAGGTCTGAGGAGCTGGCCCCAATTCCAATTACATGGACAGGTGCCTCTCCCTGAAGTAAAAATTTACTTCAGTGGACACCACTGAAGCTCCAGCTCAGGGAGAAGTACATGTCTGATCAGAGCACATGGGAGCAAATGAAGGGGGAGGAAGAAAGAGTGGAGCACATCCTTGCCCACCAAGCCTTGAGGATGATATCCCTGCTCAGAGCAGACAATGCACAGAGAGGACCATATGCCTGGTACCACTATGAGGCATGATATCCCTCACTGACCCATAGACCTACGGGGGACAGTACTGGAGACACAGTGTGGGAATTGTGCCTGATCTGACCCCACTACACTGAGGCAAAACACTAAAGGTGTGGAATAGAACAGCGAGGGGAGCAGAGCAGCGAAGTCTCCAGGGAATACCAAAAATACACTTTAGAGCCAGGGCATGACACCCCATCAGACTTGACCGGAAAATACACCTAAAGGTCAACAAACAGAACTTGAACTATTTACAGGCTTTTTTATGTCACGGGTTTCATGTTGTTGTTTTTTCTTTTGTGGCTTTGTTTTTCTCTGTCTTGTTTTTGTGCATATTATTATCTCTGCAGGTCTATCTAGATAAGATAGGCGGGATAAACAATCTGGAGGAGAAAACAATGGGACCAATGGTTCTGGGGAGACATGGAAGAGGGGGAGGGGGTAAAGGAGTGGTACTAACAAACCCAGGGACAAAGGAACAACAAGTGATCCAAAATTGGTGGCCAGGAGGGTGTAAGAAGTCTGGTAGGGCTTGATCAAGGGCAATGTAACTGAGAGAAATTACTGAAACCTAAATGAAGGCTGAGCATGGTAGTGGGACAAGAGGAAAGTAAAAGGAAATAGAGGAAAGAACTAGGAGGCAAAGGGCATTTATAGAGGTCTAAATATAGGCATGTATTTATATATGATGATGGGAAAATAGATCTGTGTGCATATATTTATAGGTTTAATATTGAGGTAGCAGATGGACATTGGGCCTCCACTCAAGTACTCTCTCAATGCAAGAACACTTTGTTCTATTAACATGGCATTCCATGATGCTCCCCTTCCAGACACGATCACTGAAGACAAAGCAGGTGCATAAGCAAATGTGGTGAAGAAAGCTGATGGTGCCCAGCTATCAAAAGAAATAGCACCTGGAGTCTTAAAGGCTTGAAGATAAACAAGCAGCCATTTAGCTGAGAAACACCAAAGCCCACATGGAAGAAGCACACCAGCCTGTGTGAGGAGGTGTCGATGGGATCAGGCATCAAAGAACAAAAAAATCATATCTTTCATTGTGAAAGAGGGGGTGTGCAGAGTGGGGGACCCAAAGCCCATTTGTCAGCAAGTGGACATCCCCTTACAGAAGGGTTGTGGGAAGGAGATGAGTTAGTCAGGGTGCATTGTAGCACCGAGGAAACATACAACTTTCCTCTAGTTCTTTACTGCTTTCCCCCCTCCCCCCCACTCATGATCCCAATTCTACCTTAAAAATCCAGTTAAACCAGAGGATGGACACTGGTACAGTTAGGAACTGGAAACACAGGGAATCCAGGACAGATGAACCTCTCAGGACCAGTGATGGGAGTGGCGATGCTGGGAGGGTGCAGGGAAGGTGGGGTAAAAAGGGGGAACCGACCACAAGGAACTACATATACTACATATACCCTGGATGGACAACAGAAAAGTGGGTGAAGGGAGACATTTGACAATGTAAGACATGACAAAATAATAATGATTTATGAGTTATCAAGGGTTCGGGAGGGAGGGGTGTGGTGAGGGAGGGGAAAATGAGGAGCTGATACCAAGGGCTCAAGTAGAAAGCAAATATTTTGAGAATGATGATGGCAACAAGTGTATAAATGTGCTTGACATACAATGGATGGATGTATGGATTTTGATGAGTTGTACGAGTCCACAATAAAATGATTAAAAAAAACAAAGTCAGTAGGAAAAAAACCCATACATAAACTCTATTTGCTCTCCTTTTACTTTGTCTTAAGGAATCCCTGGTGGTGTAGTGATCAAGCGTTGGACTGCGGTCTGCATGGTAGGCAGTGTGAAACCACCAGGAGAAAGACAGGGTTTTCTACTCCTCTATACAGTTAGTCTCAGAAACCCACAGGAACTCACTATGGGTCAGCATTGACTCATTGGCAGTGAGTTTTTCAGTGAGTTACTTTATCTTGTCCTATCATGTACATGGTCCTAGGGGTCTACTGGGTTGTTTGTTAGTCTGCTAATGGCAAGGTCAGCAGTTTGAAGCCACCAGGCACTCTGGAGGAGAGAAAAGACTATTTGCTCCCATAAAGATTTATGGGCTCAGAAACTCAAATGGACAGCTCTATCCTACAGGAATAGGGTCACTGCAAGTTAGTATTGACTGAATGGCAATGAGCTTTTAGAGGGTCATATACATGGCAAAAATTCCCATGATTTTCCTTTTATTGACTCTTTTCTTGCTATTACCATCACATTGTTAATATTCTTTTTAATTTTTCATGACAACAATCTTGTCCCCATGGTGGTTGTTTTTGAGGTATACCTTAAGATGTTTACAAGAATGATGTTATAGGTCACTAAGCAAGCAACTATTAGAGAAGAGAGCCTAAAGGCAAATGAAAGTTGAAATTGATTTTAGAGAAGGTACAAGAATACACATAGCCGTCTATATTTCATATTGTAGATATACCAGGCAATAATTAGATGAAGTCATGCATTCTATTGTAGAATCATCAGCCTATATTCTCTGAATGAGATTTCACATTCTTTCTGATCAAACATGTACAGAAGGGGATAAGAAGTTAAGTAAGTTTATCTTTTGCATCAACATTCAGTTTACTTTTGGCATGCAGGTTAAATTTAATATCTCCTAGCATGGTAGTGGTAAAAATAGAAAAAGAAAACATTTAACATTCCACTTATGTATGGAAAAATGTTTAAGGAGAAAGATTCCAGTGTTAATCATCATGTATCTTTGACAAACATGTAGGAAACGAAACAAACATAAAATTTATTCAGCGATTGGCATTCTTGCAAAAGAAGTCCTTAGATTTTTATCCCTACCCGCCTCCCCAACAATTGGCAATGGCAGAAGTGGGAGCAATGTGTCCTTGTACTTTATGGCATTATCTCTCCTGGATCCTTTAAAAAAATTGTATTACTGGAAAGCCAGTTCATGAAGGCTGTTGTGTATTTTCTAACATTTAAAAGATTCATATCCTAGGTTTATTTTAATTGTTATTGAGATGATGATATTATTCTTTCATATTTAATAAATATGCACTCTCAACTCTATTTTTAGCCTCCAACAATGAAATATTGTCATACAAAAGTTAACTAAGGTATAAACATGTGAAAGCAGAAATCTCTCTGCGATCATCAAATGATGTTATTTTCTGTTCAGCAGTTCAGGTTACTGCTGTTCATGCTAATTAATTAAAGGAGCTGTTGCTGTAATGTGCGAACAGGGAATCCAAGGTACTGGGAGGGCTTTTAGATCTCCAAGTGAAGCTAAGTCAATCTGGGCATGGGTAATCAAATGTAATGAAATCACTTGTCAGTGCTAAGCTTGCAAAAACTGTGAAGTTTGATGAGGGAGTAAAAGGATTATAATTAGATTTCCAATAGGATAATAACTAAATGGCAGAATGCAGTAAAGAGAAAATATTACTTTGTTAGCTAATGGTACTGCTGTTCAGGTTTCGTTTTTTTATCAGTGCACTTGTAGTTGTGCTAATTTAATATGCATTTGTCAGCAAAAATGTACTATATAAATGGTACTTGAATGTCATTTGCAAAAATCATTGATCTGAAGGTGCACTTAATGACACCCACTATGTTTATTTTATGTGAAACGGAGATCATTTGATGAGATGGTTGATGTGCTGTCTTGCAGGCCTCCAACTGAGTTATGGGGATCTTAATGGGAGAATATTAGTGTATATACACCACTGAATCCTTCATTTTAGCTGTAGTGCACACAATCAACATAGTAAGCACGTGCTCATTGTTTGATCACCTGAACACATTCAGAAGTTGTTCTCAGAGACTGTAAAAATATAAAGTATGCAGATAGCTTTTATTGAAAGGTGGTTTCTGTATATTATCTTCTCAGTTAAACAACATTCAAAGAGCAAAAGATATGACATAATTAGATCAATTATATATTTAGATCTATTATATAATTATACATAATGTGTATAAGAATCCTAATCAGTAGTTTGCCTTTACTAAAACCTATGTTAAAATCAGCATAAAGCTGATTATCACTTTCTTGCTTCTAGTGGTGACCATGTAACATTTTTAAGTCCCTTTTTAACCCGCTTGTAGAAATATCAACAGTGGAACTAATTGAATTTCAAATAGAGAGCACTAGATGAGTAACGATTTCTATCCAGCAGAGCTATTGACAATAGAAAGAGGAGAACATCACTGATGATGGAATTGTTTGTTGTGATGCAGAAATGTTTGAGAAGTGGCATTCTATTGGCATATATTAAGTGACCTCACAAATATATGAAATAATCACCAAAATTAAAAATTATGTATTTAAGGGAGATGGTAAGAACAAGAGTAGTATCAAAATAACTCACAAAAGTAAATAGCTACATCACACAAGAGAAAAATTAGTAGGAAAATGGAAAATGGTTTCCAATCTTAAATTATCTTATTTCCCAAGCACTATAGTTTCTCTGAGCTTAATAGAGTAATATAAAAATAATATTTTAGTTGTGCACATCGCAAATAATAGATTCAATTATTGGACTGTTCTAAGAAAATTATTTGGCTTGAATGGTTTGATAAACTATATTTAAACTTAGTCCTAATAGTATGTTCAAACACTTATCCTTGGTGATGTAGTAGGTTAGGAGTTGGGCTGATAACAAGTAGTTCAGCAGTTCAAAACCACCACCCTTAGGAGAAAGGGGAGGCATTCTACTCTCATAAAGAGTTAATATATAGGAACCCTACTCCCAGGGGCATTTCTTCTCTGTCCTGGGAAGTCCTCTATTTCACAGAGTCACTATGTCAGTGAGGTTTTTTTCTTTTTTTACCATTTTATTAGGGGCTCATACAACTCATCGCAATCCATACATACATCAATTGTGTCAAGCACATTTGTACATATGTTGCCATTATCATTCTCAAAACACCTGCTTTCTGCTTGAGCCCTTGGTATCAGCTCCTCATTTTCCCCTCCCTCCCCACTCCCCCCTCCCCTGTGAACCCTTGATAATTTATAAATTATTAATATTTTGTCATATCGTACACCATCCGACTTCTCCCTCACCCACTTCTCCACTGTCTGTCGCCCTGGGAGGAGGTTATATGTAATCTGTTCCCCCTTTCTCCCTCACCTTCCCTCCACCCTCCTGATATCACCACTCTCACCACTGGTCCTGGGGTGTTCATCTGTCCTGGATTCCCTGTATTTCCAGTTCCTATCTGTGCCAGTGTATATCCTCCGGTCCAGCCGGATTTGAAAAGTAGAATTGGGATCAAGAGAGTGGGGGAGAGGAAGCATTCAAGAACTAGAGGAAAATTGTATTTTTCATCGTTGCTACACTGCACCCTGACTGGCTCGTCTCCTCCCCGCAGCCCTTCTCCAAGGGGAGCAAGTTTTTTGTTGTTGTTGCTGTTGCTAGATTTCCTTGGTTAAGTGTATACATTCTTATTGTTTGAAAAAAAAAAAAACATTCTCCTAACATTAAATTGTGATTTTACTATCATGTAAATGTAGCACATTCACAGTAGAATTCCAAAGATTAGTGATGGGGGCTTTAACATTTAGAGTGCTTAAATTCTGTGCTAAGATAGGGAACAACTGTGTGCTTTTCCATTTTTTTCCCCATTTATCAAGTATGTTCTCAAATGTAATCTAGTATCTAATTCAATTAATGATTATTATCTACCATATTTTAATATACACGGAAATGTTGATCATGAATATGAAACAATTTTATTTATAATTGGTAAAAATATAAAGGTAAGTTCTCTTGCTATAAAATAAATTCCACTTCAATCCTTTTTCAAAGATAATTACATATATTATCCTTGAAAAAATATTGAAGTGGAAAAAGAGAATTTCTTCTGCTTAGTCAGAAAAATACCCATAGAACTGTTATAACTTTATTTGTGAGAAAATAAAGTGACTCCTTCCTTGACAAAAACATGAGTTAATATGTAAAAGCCATTTTTGTAACACTTTATAAAAATGAATAAATTGAAGCTAAATGTAGAATGAAATTATAATTTTTCTTATATCAACTAACTCATCTCCCAGGAATTAGATATCTGCTACCTATTGTGAGGTGACAAAGTAACTCTAAGACAGCCCAAAACTTTGTATTAACACTTGAGAAAGATGCTATTACTGTGACCTAAACACATTATATAAATTACCCACTTACATTGTGTTTTGTTGATCCCCTCAAGTTCCAAAACTGACCTTAAATCCCATTCAAAGGATAGACACAAATTTATGCTCTTCAAAGACTGAGTCTCTATTTGTGTGTCACTAATTGTGCAGGGATCAAATGCTTCACACTGTACACCCCTACCATGGCCTTGTTATGTGGTGGCCACCTTCAACACTAGACCAACAACAGTTGGGCTTATTTAATAAACTTAGTTGTGGTGAATTGATTGGATAAACGCCAAGTCCAATGAATATTGGAATTGTCAAATTTGAGAGAACAAAGTGAGATAAGAACCGCAAGTGATTGAACTAAAATGCATTAGTGAGGTCTAATCAACTATAGCAACATCTAGCTTTACCAGAAGAAGCACCAGTTCTTACATCCTGGCTTTTGTAAAGATAACTTGCAAAACTACATTAATCGAGGTTTCTAAATTTCCACAAGCCACTACAGAAAAATAGCTGATCCCTGTTGGCATAGTGGGCTACGTACACGTTTGCCTGCTAACCTGAAGGTCAGGAATTCAATATTACCAGTCACTCTGCAGAAGAAACATGAGGTTTTCTATAAGGGGGTACCCACTCAAAACACACACTTTACCACCACCCACACACACACCACCGATCCACTGCTAGAACATCCAGCAACTCGCTCTGAGTTAGTGCACCCAGTGCAGACATCCAAGCAGATGACTTTTAAAAATGTTTCTGAGAATGGGATCACAGATTTGGCAAATGTATCAAGCATAATGGAGAGTACTTTGAAGGTGATAAAGCTGTTTTTTAAAAATTTAAATACATAGTAGCTTTGAAAAGAAAATCCGGTTTTTTGTTTGGGGGGTTGGGGGGACGCTCTCGTGTTCCTGCAAAGATTTACCATCTCAGAAACCCATAAGCATGATAATACTTTTTCCTATAGGGTCACTATGAGCCAGAATCGACTCAATGGACATGAGCTAGCTAGCCAAATGAAATGGTGGTGCTGAGATATGCCCAAATACATCTTTTGGCTGCCTTTGTTTCTGCGTTCATGTAGACTCAATTGCCATATAATAACAAGTTAAAATTTCAGCAAGCAACTAATTTACAGTTTCATTCTTTCTTGCAAATTAGGAAACAGTTTTCTCATAGAAGCATATTATTCTTTTAATACAGTTAGGCATCCTTTTCACGTTAGCAGTGCAATTGAATATCATCTGCATACAAAGGCCTGGACTCCCTTTAGGGTCACTTCAGAAAATGCTCAGTGTATCCAACCTAACTCTTAATTTAGGTGCATTTGCACGGAACTGCTGTTGATTGATTTCAAATGCTTCTCTAGTACTACATTGTTTAATGAGTGCCTTTTAATGGCACTAGGCAAGGAAAATTTGTAAATCATGAATTACATAAGCCTCGTGCTTGACTAGAAAAATGTATAGTCACTTTGAAAATATTGACAGCATTCAATTCTCTTATCTTTGGCTTCTATAAACAGTAAAGTAGTGAGGTTAAAAGAATATGGCATTGTACACTTCTGAAAGATACATTGTTTTCACAGTTATGCATTTTTAGAATATTCTTCAAATATAAATGTATATTTTGCCAGCTAAATGTATAAGAGATTTGTTCACATTGTATATGTAAAATTAGTCTCCAAGTATCCTTAAGCTCCGGTGATTTAGAGGGTTATGCATTGAGCTGCCAACCAGAAAGTTAGCAATTCAGCAATTCCAAATTACCAGCTCCACTGTCATATAGAGAGGAGGCTTTCTACTCCTGTACAGAGTTGCAGTCTCAGAAAACTAAAAGATTTGGAATAAACTATATTTTGTTTATATCTACTTTGTCTTAAATGGCCTCTACAAGTTAGAGAGGATGTCTGTTTGGGTACTGTTATTGGGCTTTCAAAAATATAGTAAGTAAAAAATTATATATATGTGATATATATGTATAAATATAGATCAAAATATAGATATAACTAAATATACTCACAATATATTTTGTCATAAGATAAGAAGGGCTACACTTATTTTACTTATATGAAGAGTATCTATCTAGAAGCACATCTCTACACCCACCCCAAGGGGTCATAAAGAAATATGAAGTTTGAAAAAGAAATATGCTTTTTTTTACTGCACCTTGCATAGCAGCACTATCGTGAGGAGTCCCACTGTTTTCTATTTCAATATCTGGAATTCCAGTATCTGAAAAAAGTAATATTAAATATTAATATACAGGTCTGCATCCTGATTCCATTTAACGGGAAAACTAGCAAACCTTAACTTCAATCTCATAACGAGCAAAAGCACTTGGGTGGCAATTTTGTTTCTTGTCTATTTGTTTGTAAACTTCTTTTTTCATCTTTGTAATGGTAGGAAAGAAAAGTCTGAGCGGTTGCTGAGTTTCAGAATTGGGTATATGGTAAATACCCTATTTCTGCATATTATCTCATAGTGTGCATGTGAAACAAATGGACAAAAAGGTTGTGCATTTTACAAGAACTTTATAACATGTGGTATCTTTGCAAACAAATGAAATGCTTCTTTATTCATTGCATTCAATATAAATGAGACAATTTTCAAGAAAATAATGTGCCCATAGACTAGTGAGCCCACTATGTCTAAACAATGTCTTGACTGGAGAATCAGGAAAAGATGACAGCTGTGATTGCATAAATGGAGGTGCTCCTATCCAGATGATGCTGCTCACCTGCACAATGTGCTGGATGTGGAGATTGTCTCTACGAAGTGAAAATGAACACCAGACCACAGGCTGTGTCTCGTCTTCACAAGAGACATGTTATAGAATCACAGTTTTTACTAGTGTGCTCTTCAGAGCAGCTTCAGAACCGACTAATTATGATGTTAAAAGAGTTTGTGTGTGTGTGTGTGTATATTTATATATTTACTTAGACATTTATCTCAAACTGGGTCTCAGTCACTCTGGCTAGTTCTTTTTTAAAAGGAGAAGATAAAAGTAAATGCATAACTTTCAAAGCAACTTCAAATTTAGCAGAAATATTAAAAAGCTATAAAAAAGCAATAAGGTTGGATATGTGATCTAACTGACTATAGAATCTCAAAAGATTAGATAGAAATGTTAGGAGATCGTGAGATTATGTCCACGGGGGAGGTGCAATTAAGAAAAGAAAGGTGAGAATGGATGCACAACTCAGAGAATATAAATCAATATCATGTGATTGTATATGTAGAAGCAAAATGGTTGAATTGGTATGTGTTTTACTGTGTATGTTCTCAAAAAGACCAAAACTAGTAAAAAAAGAGGAAGTTGTGCTTTTATATTCAACTTTAAATATGAATTTTAATGATCTAATGCATATTCACACATGAAGGAGACCTGGAACTCAGTGGTTAAAGCCCTAAAATATTCAACAGAATTTCAGTGGTTGTAACCCACCAGCTGCTCAACAATTGGATATCGTTGAGTTCCATACAGCCTTGGACAGGATGAGACAATTATACTCTGCTCTATCGGATTTCTATGAGTTGGACTCGACTCCATGAAAAGAGGTTTGGTTTGGGTCTTCATATACTGCTTAGTGTGTACAGATTTGCTTGGGCACCATGGGTATTGGAATAACAAATATCAATGTATCACCCGATGTCTCCAAGGATAAACAAGAGAAAGAAAATGAGTTTAATAGATGGGGTGAACGAGCCTATTGTTCATGCAACATGCTTTGAGATTTTATTTGCTGATATTAAGTTTGCTATAAAGGAGCCCATGATTTAACAGTCCCCCTCCCTTGTAATAAAAATTCCTTTTAAACCTAATCAGCAAGGGTGCTCTTATTCAGGAAAGGGGAAGTGGGGCGATTTAGATAATCATGGAGGCTGAAACCTTAGTGGACACTGGTCTGACAACCTCAAGGACAATCAAGATATCGATTGATGGTCTGATAATCTTTTGGGAAAATGATGGTCCTTTCCTATGAAACTTGCTCTATTGCCCCATTGCTTGAATGTCTGCTGAACATTACAAAACATGTTATCTTCTGGGTTTGCTGCAAAACCTATTATTCCGCTCTCCCTACCCAATTGGCCACAACATTTGTGGTATATATAATATGTTGATTTTCACTGAATCATAAAACAGTTTGGAGGCTGAAAACTCACTATTTCCTTGTGGCAGTGTTTGCTGGAATAAACTTAGAATTTCTTGAATAAGTCTGGTTTGTCTTCGGCTAAAAGAGTGATGGGCTTCCCGGACACTTTGTCTACTGGCAACAATTTGAATGCAATGTGCAGTTGCTTCTCCTTTACAAAAGAAAACATAACCGCTAGAGTAGAACTTACTTGAAGTTGGATTTCAAACATGTACCAAAAAACTTAAGTAGATGTTGAAGGCTTTCAATTGGATTTTTTACTTACAGCCACCCCTGAAGAATTGTTTCACAGGGGTTTCTAAAGTGTAATCTTCATGAGAGCACATTGCCAAGATCTTTCTGTTTTGAAGTGACTAGATAGCTCCCTACTGCCAGATTTTCTTTTGGTTAACAGCCAAATACTTAATCACTGTTCTACATATATCCTTAGATCAGAGCCTGACAACAACTGCGCATAGAATATTTATTGTGTTGCTGGTCACCAATGTTTGACTCTTGGCTAAATTGTTCCATTGTATGAGATATTAATATAATGGATGTTTATTTGCATCACCATGATTTATTGATCTAGCATTGTATTTCAGTGGAGAGCATAAAGTTCCATGAGGCAATAGTAACAAGAGAATAAAACTTGTAGAGAGAAAATAATACAGTTGAATCTTTGTCCAAAATTTACTATCTAATCTTAGCACAGTAAAACAAAGTCACCATATCTTAGTTCTTTGTATGTCTCACATATGTGCAGAAGGATATGTATGAGTGTTCATAAAATCTTCACGCTCATCTCTGTTGTTTACATATAGCTGTTAAAATATACAATCTGCCAATGTGCAAATCTAGGAGAATATGTAAATTTCATAAAATCAAATGACATTATATGATTTCAGGAACTAAAATATTTTATGATGTAAATGCATCCTCATACAGGATATCCAGAGATTTACTTTGAATATTAGTTACTACTTCTTAGCCAAATAGTCCTTACACATCTTGCCCTCATTATGCACCTCAACATTGACCCAGTCAATCTGCATTGAAGAAGCAACCTATAGCTGACCAAAATAGAGTTCACCAAGCATCAGAAGATTCTAAGATGAACATTTCTAAAGCACTTATATTTCAGATGTCATAATATCATCAATGTTATTGTTTCTACTGCAAAAGTTCGCAGGATTTCCTATTATGCTTAGGCTATTTGTATCTGCTATAATAGGTATTTTACTTTTAGGACATAGGTACAGTTGACCCAAGCCAGGTATTTTTAATCATCTTCTATGCATGTGAGAATTGGACATTGAATAAGGAAAATCTAAGAAGAATTGATGCATTTGAATAATGGTGCTGATGAGGACTACTGAAAGTATCATGGATTGCCTAAAGAATAAACCTATCTGTTTTGGAAGAAGTACAGCCAAAATGCTCCTTAGAGGCAAGGATGGCAAACCTTTGTCTCAAGTACATTGGACATTATTAAGAGAGACCAGTCCCTGGAAAAGGACATAATGCTTGGTAAATTAGATGGCAAGCAAAAAAAAGAGGAAAACTGTCAACAAGGATCGACACAATGGTTGCAACAAAGGGTTTCAAGCAAAAAAAACAATTGTGAGGAAGGCCCAGAACCAAATGATGTTTCATTCTATTGTCACGATGAGTCGCAACCAACTCAATGGCACCTAACCAGAACCACATACTACAATAGGAATTATTTTGGCTGGTTTATTTCATGACTTAAATAATTTGATATCAATGTGATATTTTATAATTCTTATGGACAAATATTTCCTTGCTTCCCCCCCCCCCGTTTTATTTATCTTTATCTCTATTAACTGGGTTTAGCTTTTTGTATCGTGATTGTGAAAATTTAAATGATATATTATTACCTTTCAACATCCTCAGGCCACTGTCACCAGTAGTAGCTTGCTTAAGTGCATGCTCTACTTGTTCTCTGCGCTTGGATTCAAAATCCAAAGATTCCTGCAATTTTCTCTTGGCTTTTTTCTCCTTCTTCAGGCGCTTTTGCATAGCAGCTGAAATGTAAAAAGGCAAATGACTTGTAAAGGATTGGCTAATGTAATATATTGGGCAGTTCTGATGAATTATGAATACATACAGATATAACTTTTGATTTTCTTCTTTTATCCCAATGCTTGTCAGCTATCATCCACAGAGTGTATTTTTTGAAACTGTAGTTCAATCCTGTAATTGACTTTTTTATATTTTCACTTTTACCAGTTGTATGTTTTATGTGCATGTGCATTTATATAATGGAGGTACTGTTGAGGGATTGCTTCATACTTTGATTAATTATGCATTTAAGGATAGTATTAAATACTTTACACATCTTTTAAAATACAGTCTTAATATTAATCAGGGCATTGTTTTTCATATTCTACAAGTACAAAAGGGTAAAGTTATCTATAACAAAATATGCTATTTCTTTGAAACAGAATGACAAGTATATATTTTTTCTAAAGGGTTCCTAGTTATAAAGGTTATTATATTTTTACATATATGTTCATATAATCTATCCATCTACCTATTTACCTACCTCCATACCTATCTACACTGGCAAACAATTCATAGAAAAAAATCCAATATCTTTCTATTTCATTTTCTATAAACCCTTTGAAGGCCACACGCACATCTACATATACACAAACATATTAAAGCGCTTAACTTTGAGTAATGGTTACATAAAGAGGCTATAGCAGCACTGCTTTACCACTATGAGTTGGTTCAGACTCAGAGTGGCCCTACTGTGTACAACGGAATGAAACCGAAAGCCATCCTCACAGCTGTTCTTTTGTTGAGCCCACTGTTGCAGCCATTGTGTCAATCCATCTTATGGGGGCCTTCCTCTTTTCGTTGGCGAGTTTCCTTGGTAAGCAGAAATAGGAAAGAACTACTAAAAGACAAAGCTCATTTCTCAAACTTTTAACTAAAACTTTAACTACTCTAACACATGATTGTTTTTGATCTCTGCAACTGTGGCAGAATTTTCTTAAACAGCAGATCCAGTCTATCCCGAGGAAACCTAGACTGCGGACCATAATAAACTTATGCCTGTGTCTCACAGCCTCATTAAGCCTATCAACCTGAAAGAGCTTGTTACCCTTAATTTACTAGATTAGGAAAGATTTCTATTCATATACGCAGGGTGATGATACATACTCTATGTCTCATGTAAGCAGGAAGCAGCTACAGATGGAGAGATTTTGCCCCTAATCCCTTGAAGCATTATGTACATGCTATCTCTTGGGGGTGGTGTGTGTGTGTGGAAGGGGAGCGGTATGCAACAACTCGAAGGAATCAAGGTGAAGATTGTGGGCAGAAAGTGTGTGGGGCTTCATGACAACATTTCTACACTACATTTCCCAGAACTCCTTGGAAGCTCCTGAGAATCCTGTGTGCTCCAGAACTTAAAATAAAAGCTTGATGTGCGTGCGGGGGCAAGAAATATGAACTGCAGCTATGGGGCTGGGTAAGGTTTTCTTACACCTAGGAGCTTCTAAATGAAATTAGTTTTCCATTCCCTGTCTTCCAAAAGTAAATATTTATTTTGATAAGACGAGAACCTAATTTTGGTAACATTGTCATGATACATATAATTATATACGTTTTTGTGATAAAAGGTGAACCTTTTATTTGAAGTGGTGCAATTTGAAGCAGAGAGGGAAAATAATGGTATTATGATTATAAAGTAACATATCTCCAAGGATAGCATACAAAGAGTAAGACAAAAATATTGCTATTTGGGTTTCAGTTCATACATGCACGAGTTTATCCCATATAGAACATGCTTAAACACATCAGTGGCTACAGACAGGTTCTTTCTCAATAATGCATCTGTCATAGTCTCCTTCCAAAAATAAATGTATAATCAAAATGGTGGCTTCCCAGAAGATCTGCTCAGCCAGTTAAATTTAAGCCAGATTGGTCAGCTCAGAAGGTTAAGGAGATCATTTGGAGGAATTCCAAAAGGGTAATCTTGTTAGTTTCTTGTATGACACAGGAAAATTTTAAGCTTATTGGGAAGCAGTGTTTTTGTTAAAGAGAGAGGGTTACATAGGTGAGGAAAAGGTCACACAAGTTGAGCTACACATTTTTTCATTTGCTTGTTTTCTCTGGAAATACAATGCATCTGCTAATACTTCAATGATAGCAAGGGCTGTCCTATGAGAAATTCATTGCTAAACTCTATCCCATCTACACTACAGCTGTGATCCTGCCTCTTTACACATTCTTTATGTTCCTAAAATGCAAAAAGCCTTTCAAATAAATGTGCGTTGAGTCCCTCCAGAGCACCCAAACTGTCACTTTTATGTGGTAGAAGCTGAAGAACACAGGGTTCATTGGGGAAGGGTTGTTAGGAAGATGGGAAACACCTCCTTAAGAATTTTATAGACCTAGATGAGGAAATGTCAACAAACAGTATCTTCACATTTTTACAATTTTGTTTAATAAATATTTCTATGATTTTTTATGGATACATTTTTACTAACCTTCACGCAGTAAAAATCCCTATAATTCTTTTTTTTTTTTTACAGTTAAAAACACTTTCACACTAAGTGGGAAAAATTGTCCCACCGAGTTAGTTTTCATTGTTAACCAAACTGTAATACTTGAATGAGATATATATACACATTGCATTAATATCACTTACAGATAAAACTCTTGGAATTATAGAATGTTAGAGCTTTAAGAAACACAAAGGGCAGAGTCAACCAGGGAGCAGTATAGTACTGATGAAACACACAATATCCCTCTGGCTCCTTGAGGCTCCCTCACCCCCCACTATCATGACCCCGTTCCTGCCTTCAACTTTGGGCTAAACCGGAGCATGCACACTGGTACAGATAAGTGCTCCCACACAGGGAATCCAGGTCAGATAAACCCCTCGGGACAGGAATGGCAGTAGCGATACCAGGAGGGCAAGAATAAGGTGGGGATTGGAGGGGAGGAAAGGGGAACTAATTACAATGATTGACACATAATCACACACACCCCACACTTGAGGGGGATAAACAATAAAAACCATGGGGGACGGGAGACAGTGGTTGGTGTAAGATATGAAAATATCTTGGTATAAGATATGAAAATAACCTATCAAGGACTCATGAAAGTGGGAGGGAGGAGGGAGGCAAAAAAGAGGAGCTGATACCAAGGACTCAAATAGAAAGTAAATGTTTACAAAATATGGATGGCAACATATGTACCGATATACTTGATACAATTAATGTATATATTGTAAAAGCCCCAATAAAATTATCTTAAAAAGAGAGAGAGAGAGAGCAAAGTCTGGTTATTAAGAAAACAAGGGCTGGTCACCATCCACAAGACACATAATGACCCCCTAACATTAAAGAAAAAAAAAAAGAAAGAAACCTTAGTTCTCACCTTTCTTGATCTTGGTCTCAGGCTTTGAAACTCCTGCCTATGTGATCTTTGGTCTTCACACTTTGAAAACTACTAGCTATGTTATCTTGTGTATAATTCTTGACCCATGAAAGATTCCATTTCCTCATGTATATAAAAGAGATAATATTATTTGCCTTGCTGAGTTGCTATAATGCTTACATGAGATATATTCCTAGCACAATGCTTGGCACATACTAAGCTCAGTTGAAATACTCTAATGATATCTAAAGGCATTCAATACCTCAAAATGTCAAATAATTTATTTTCATTAATGTTTCCGGAGTGTTTTTCTTTTGCCATAATATCTTATAAGTTTAACTTATGTAGGAAAAATGTAAAAGTCAGACTGGTTAAACTAGTGCATGTATTAACTAGAATCTAAGTAGTAATAATCTATTGTCTTATCCTTATACATACAATTCTTGTAGATATGTTACTTTATTATCAATAACATCACTTTACCTCTATGCCTTCAACTATTTGACTTCAGGTAAAGGATTAACCTTTTATCACAACGATATGCATACATATGTATCATGATAATATCATGACAAACAGAGAAATATTGAAGTTATTAAGGGTATCATTTTGCTTGGATCTACAGTCAATGTTAACAGAAACAGTAGTCAAAAATTAAATGACATGTTTTATTGGGAAGAGTTGCTTCATAAGACATTTCCAAAGTATTGATGGGTAGAGATATCATATTGAAGACTAAGGCGAAACTTACCCAAACCATGAAATTTTCATTTTCCACATGTGCATGTGGAAGTTGGACAAGGATTAAGGAAAACCACTGAATACTTGATACATTTGAGTTATAGTGTTGGAAAAAATATTAAAGGTACTCTGGTCTTCCTGATGAACAAACAAATCAATATTGGAAGAAGTATAGCCAGAAAATTCCATAGAAGAAAGGATTGCAAAACTTAGTCTCACATACTTTGGGCATGTTATAAGAAGAGGCTATTCCCTGGAACAGGACCTCATGCTTGATAAAGTAGGTCAATGAAAAAGAAGAAAATCATTGTGATAGGATGGAATCTTTAGAGCTCTAAAAGAAGTGACACCTCTGTGGGTGCATAGAAATATATTTATATTAAAATGGCTCACAAAGCAATAAAAGTTGGTAAGTCTAGCTTATGTCTGTGGGTCAGATATAAGCTAGACTATTCTTGATGCGTGTGGCTCCAGGAGCTGATGAACATGCAGCAGGAAGATGAATCTGGAAGACCACAGACTGGTGGAGGAGGAGTAGATTGAATCTGAGGTTGGCCAAATGAATCCACGTTTGTTAATATGCTGATGGCTCCTGAGATCAGCAGGCTACAACAGGAAGTCAAAGAACCAAATTCAGGATACAGATCCAGCAGGAGAAGTGAAGATCCACACAATGCCGATCTATTTCGAGTAGGCCACATTCTGAATGACGCTTCCGTCAACTGTGTTAAGGCTGTGAACTGATTAAGAAGGGGGTACTCTACCCAATTCTCCCCACAACTGCTTGGTTGCTTCACAGATGTTCCCATGATGGAGTTGACCAATTTCACTATGTTAGGTTGTATTATGGGAGAATTGGGCCCACACAAGTTGACACAAAACCTAACTA